AACCTTGAATATCCTTAGCTCCTTCTCCACGCCATTTTGTTTCTTGCAAGCAAAGGATATTGATTTTCCTTTGAATCATAACCCCTACAACCTCTACAGATTTACAATTTAATGTCCCAACATTCCAAGTACCAAATTTAATTTTGCTCTTATGGACTAACTTCTTTAGCCGCGTGCGTCCAGAATGACGCGGTAGCCCTTACTCATTTAACACTACATCCGGGCGCCGATGCAACGGCTCTAACTCACTTATCACTGTACTCGAGCCATGCAGCGCGTTACTTACGGGCAACGACCTAACATTAACATTATAACGTTTATTGTCCATGTTCATGATAGATTCAACAAATCTTTACATTGGCTGTTGATGGCCTAACACAACCCTCCTCCTTTACCCGGGCTTGGGACCGGCTATAAACATAGGCGGAGTTAGAATCGTTAAGAGTCTAATTACCAAAATTAAACAAAGAAAAGTCAAAGTTGTTAAATTTATATATACTTTACGACTTAACCTATTCTCCTTTGATGCTTAGTTGGCTGTTGTTATATTTGGATTATTGCATGAATCTTGCTTGTTTGTTTTCTGGCAACTGATAAGTTGATAATTTAATTTGAGGCAGCGGCATTCCAGATTTGATGCTGTGACTTTTTTGGCTATAGGTTCGCACAACATTGGAATTGCTATGGCTACTCCAAACGGTTTAGTTGTACCAAACATAAAAAATGTTCAATCTCTTTCCATCTTGGAGGTTAGTTTGCACTCTAATGGTTGTTTGTGTACGTTATCTACTCTAAAAGTGCTTTATACTTGAATTCTATATCATGATCCAAGTGCAAGTCTGATGCCTTTTGTTTTCCTTCTTAATTCATGAGCCAAGTGCTTGAACGAGTATATCTCAACTACGTTTGTGATTTTTCTGTCTTTAATGTGATTGTTTTGGTTGCTAAAGGTGGTTCACATTGGAGAAGGGGTAAGGGGCTTTTTTGTTAGACTCTGTACAAGGGGAAGGGAAAAAAAAAGATTTTTTTTTTTTTAACGGTGGCCAATATGTCTTTTGCCTGGCTTCTGCAGCTGTTCTCAAGGAGCAGTACTTGTGCTTTGCGGTGCTTGATTTTGTTAACATGTTAAGTTTAGTGAAAATGTATATTTCTTACTTCATTTCTTAGTACAAGTTTATAAAAACTGATCTACGTGGCTGCATTAGGTTTATCATTTACCTCTGCTTCTCTGTAGCTGCGCTCTTGTATAATTACCATTCTTTTGCTTGTAACTACATTTGCTTGCATCATCTGTTAGTACAAGAGTCCCTGTGTGCTTACAGCACCGTTGAAGTAATGATGATCTTTTCATTCCAATAAATCACATTGTTCTGCCTCTTGTTTATTTTATTAAATTTGTGTATTTAGATAACGAAAGAACTATCAAGACTGCAACAACTGGCATCGGATAACAAGCTTAATCCTGAGGATATATGTGGGGGGACAATTACTTTAAGCAACATCGGGGCAATTGGTGGGAAGTTTGGCTCCCCACTTCTCAATCTGCCTGAAGTATCCATTATTGCAATTGGTCGAATTCAGAAAGTTCCGCAATTTGCAGATGATGGGAGTGTGTATCCTGCATCACTCATGACTGTAAGTCTTCCTTTGATTTGCTCATGCAAATGAACAGACAAACTTTTACCCTTTGATCAGATGGAAAGAAAATTAGAGAGGAAAGAGTATGAGGGAAAACTCCCAAAATAGTAAATTTTTTACTACTTTTGGAAGTTTTTCTTCCTAATATTCTCTTCCTATTTTCTTCACATTTCCTCCCTATCCAAACCAAGCCTTCTTAGGAAAAAAGGACGAGTTCTATAAGAATTCCACATGAAACAGAAGCATGTATGGCTTAGGCAAAGCAAACCCATGCTGTACACCTACTCTTGGATTCATCAAACCAAAGTATATGCTTGTAATAAATAAACCTAAGGAAGAAAGGAAAATGGCTTTGCATAAGAAAGCCATAAATAACACATATCGGGTTGTCTTTTCTTACCATATCATATATACTCTTTTTAATTTCTTATAGAGCATGATAGCAATTATTAGACGGCACCCTTGATACTTTTCTGTGAAAGAAATGGTTTCTAGACGCAGGACATGGCATCTTTTCTATTGAGAGGTCGATGTAACGGATGAACTCATATTAGACACTTGTTGCTACTTTTATTTTAGGTTGAAATTAAAGATGAAAACTAACAGAGTTCTTGATTAGTGTCACATAAGTTTCCCCGATTATCATCTTCAGGAAATTTTAGCGACTCTTTTCCCCTTACCATAAACATTAAGAAGTTATTGATAAAAGATAGTCCCTAAATCTCCTCTCCCCCCACCCCCCCCCCAAAAAAAAGGACTATAAAACCAGGAAAAAATTAGTTCTTGCGGCCTAGTACTTCGCCATCGACGCCTTTGGAAAAAATCCTAATGCCACACGCTTTTTAAGGAATTGATAACAATTAACAAATACCTAGGAAACCACCCCTTAGTTTTGTTCTATAAATCTATATAATTCCAAATTTTAAGAATGTGCAAGTGTTGTTAATTTGTTATAACTATTCATGAAATCTGACCATACAAACTGGGATATTATTGTTGTTTCAGGTTAACATCGGTGCAGATCATAGAGTGCTGGATGGAGCAACCGTTGCCAGATTTTGCAATGAGTGGAAAAAATTAATCGAAAATCCAGAGCTTCTTTTGTTGAACTTGAGATAATAGTGTTGAATAACTTTCTCGGCCCTTTGGCTAAGATCAAGTGTAAGATGATATTGTTGACATAAAGGAGAACTTACCCCATCCAGTTCCACATTTCATACTGGTTCATAGATGTTAGGGCTCGAGTGATGGCTCCAAGAATTGCTCACTGAACAGATCTGTCAGGTTCCATATCCAGTGAAGAGACTATATGTTGTTAATCTTTCTGTTTGAAATGGGGTTTTCATTTTGGAAATTAGGTTATTCCTAATATTCTCGTGAATATCATCGTGGGTATATATATGCCCAAAAAACCTAATGGTTTGTCTAAGCCTCAGATCCTACATTCCGTCTCGGAAATATTAAAAATTCAGGCTACACATTTGCACGGCTAATTTCTTGATTGAAAAACTAAAAAGGAATATTGAATTTGTTTAGGGTCGATTTTGTGTAGGGTTGTCTCTTAAATTGGACAATATATATATTTATATTGTGTAATGAAAGCACAAATTTACTTCAAAAAATATACTCTACTCAATAATATTAAACTGTTTTTTTTTTGGCAGCAAAAATTTGTCTAATATAAAGCCTAACTATGCTTAATGATAGTCCAAAATAAAAAATAATAAACTCTACTAAATTAAAAAAAAAAGAAAAATTAATCTTTTAGTCCTTCAACTTTTAAGTTATTTATAACTTAATTTCTCAATTATGGCTCGTTGTGACTTAATCCTTCAACTATAACTCGTCTATGACTCAGTCTCTCAATTTTTAAATCACTTACAAATTAATCTCTTAACTTTTGTTAAATTTTTTTTTTCATGCTAGCTTATATCTCACATTAATGAATAAGAAAAGGGTATTTTAAAATAATATATGAGCATTTTTATCCCTCTTATTTGATAAATTTTTTTGAGAAAAATTAAAAAATAAAGACCGAGTTATAGGTTAATCAAAAGTTAATGGACTGAATTGTAGTGAGTTATAGTTGAAGGATTGAGTCGCAGCGAGTCATAATTGAGAGACTGAATTACAAGTAAGTTAAAAGTTGAAGGACTAAAATATTAATTTTTCAAAAAAATAGATATAGGTCTCAATATTGTGAAAAGTTTGAAAAATTAGTTTGTATTCCCGTGGTCTATAAATAGCGAAGTTTGTTATTATTTTATATTGATTTATTCTGAAATACACACATTATTTTTATCTAAAATTTTTACAAACAATTATATAATATATATATATATATATTTTACAATCTTCCACCAAAATTAGTAAGCTCGATATGCTTTTTGGACAATAATAATGAACTCCGCTTTCCTCTATCATATATATATATATATATATATATATAATAGAACTATTTAATTTCAACCTCCTTTATGCTTTCTCCCAACAAAAAAAAAAAAATGAAGTGGCGTGTGAATACCACTACCATTATTACAAAAATACCCTTTTAATTTTAAATATTAGTTACTTTTTAAAAGTATGGTTTTGTTTACTTTATAAGTTATTAATTGATGAAATTATTTAATTTATTAAAATTCTTAAATTATCCTTAAAAAAAAGAAATAAAAAATTATTATGTCATTTATTTATTTTTTATTTTTTACTTAAAAATTATATTTAAAATTTTATTTATTTTATTTATATTTTTATTATATTAATTTTGATAAGGTTGATAAAAATAATTTATAAATAAAATTAGGGAGAGTATTACATCCATAAAAGACTTCGCTATTCGTAAATCATAATCATAAATCGTAGTCGTAGTAATGGTAATGTGGACTGTGGAACTGCCGATATACCGATTAGCAGTGAACGGTTTCCTGCTTGCCGAGGTAACTGTTAAACTGCCATCAACCGCCACAATTCAAAATTTCATGAACTGCAACTTCCATATGGGCATACATAACTCAACTCAATTCCAGCCCCTGAAAACCTCACAAAAATGGCGGTCCTCACCCTCAGTCTCATTGCCCTTTCACTCTCTGCTTTCTCTCTATTCGTAATATCTCCTTCTTCATGTCAGTAAAAACCCACGTTCTTTCTTCTCTTCTAACAAAGAATTAAGCAATCTTTTTGGGCTTTTCTGTTACCCATTTTTTTGTTTTAATTTGTGACAGACAGAACCCCTTCGCCTAAATTTGCTTTCAGTTGGTGGGATGATAAGGACGCATTTCGGGCCGGTGATGCTGCAGCGATCAAGGTCACCGTACTTGAAAACGCTGACAAGATTGATAGAATCGCTTTCAAGCCCAGGCTCACTGTGAACGGAAAGGTGGGGAATAGTTCCTACGTATCTACGGTGTTGGCAAATTTCGAAGGGGACCCAAATAATTGGAGCATTATGTTTACTCCTATCAGGGTTGGAGTATTTAATGTGCTCATCGACGAGGAACTTTATCAAGTTTATGATTCATCATTGCACTTCCGAGTTGAGCCAGGTTTTGATGAAACTTTCTTCCCCTAAGTGAGTTGATCCATGCATAAATGAGTGTTGCTAGAGTAAGAATCACTTTGATTTTGCAGCATTTGTGAGTTCGTCATTTGAAACTGAATGTGTAGAGAATTTTATGCCTCCTCCATTATATTTTAATGTCGTAATTATATTATAGTTTAATTAGTTCTAAGTAAAACCCTGTTTCGGTCTTCCAAGTATAACTAGCATATGGTTCAACTCCACAGAACACTTGCTCCTCAATAGCACCTGTGGAAGGATACAATTGGAATAAGAATAAACTTTCAAGCTGTAAAATGATGCAGAATATCTTTGAGAAAGTTAATGGATATTGAAGTTGACCATTATGTGTTTTATTCTTTCATGTAAAGTGTCTAACGCAAGATGCTATTACACTGTTGAAGGGAACATGTATCCATCTGTATGTGTTGCTTCATGGAAGGGCCTGAAAAATGAGTTTGAAGCTGGTGCGAAAGCTACTATTGTGATACTCCTCAAAGATGCATTTGGGAACAATATATCTCGATCAACAGAAGTTTCCTATTTACCTGACTTTAATTTGTCTGTGCTTTATGAAAATGGTTCCTTTGCTAGTGCACTAAATATCAGCAACATGGGCTGGAACGAGTTTGACTATATGGTTTTTGAGTTTATTGTGACAAAAGCTGGCAACTTTTCGTTGCGTGTGGAAGGAGGAAATCAAACATTGAATGGTTCTCCATTACCATTGAAGGTGAACCCAGGTTGTGTTTTTTTCGTGCCATTTGTTAGTTTATGTCATGTATTTGGAAGACCAAACTTTATCAACATGTGGTCTTTGTGGCACAGGAGAAGATTATAGTGTTAGAATCTTTGTTACATGCTTGCATTTTTACTGTCTGTTCTTCAACTATCATTATTTTTCCTCTCTCTACAATACCAGGACCTATAGATATCTCTAACTGTATGGCCAAATGGAACTTCAAACCAAAAGCATGGCAATTGGCTTCCAAGATGGAAATTCTTATACATCAGCAAGATCAGTATGGAAATCTGGTTCCAGGACTTTATGAATTTGATGCTGAAGTTGTTGAAAGGGAAACAAATCTGTCAATACCTGTACCAGATCTTCATTTTGAAGAAGTGGATGCTGGGATTCAATTGTTTTCTTTCAGCAATTTGGAACCCGGGAATTTCTTTCTAACAATATATGATAGCAAGCATAACAAAAGCATTTTTAGTATGCCATATGCTTACACCGTTTATGTTGGTAAAATCTACTTTCCTAGTCTCTTGATAGAAATTTTATTGGTTTTATAATCCTTTTAGTTCTCTGTCGCTTCCTTTTGTTCCTTTAGTCTATCACATTATTTTGTTGCTCCTTACCCCTCAGGTTCTGATAAAATTTTCTGTCAAACCAGCCTCTCTCTTTTATGCCAAACAAAACAAAACAAAGCAAAAACAGAATCTGCCTTCTAGTTCTCGCATATAATAATAGACTCTGAGATATAGTGATTTGTTTCAATTCATTTAATATGCTAATACAACTTCTCTACCATGTTCCTTTCTGAATAGGTTACTGTGATGGGGTGAAAAGTGTTGTGAATGGATCAGGTTTAAATGATTCAGTGGCAGGAGTGTTGACAGAATTTTCTGTGTATTTAAATGACATATATCAATATCCTTCCCCTGTTGAAGCAGAATTATTTCAAGTTCTGATTTTTAGAGGAAACGACTCATACAGTATTTCCCCTACTATATATCCCGTGCTAAACACCACCGGTATGTGCTATTATAAACCATTTAATATATTAATTACATATGTTTAATATTTTATGAATCGTTGTACTGATGTGTGCATTTTTGTGGTAGGAAGCAGGACAACTTCAAGAGTGAGATATGATGGTGTTAGTCACATTGAAATTGCCCCATCACCATCAATAGAGCTAAGTAACAACGTAAGACATACAGATAAAAACTGTAGTTAAACAGTTAATTGAAATTATAATGATATTTTATCTTGATTTTTGTCCAATCAGAGTGAGAACTCTGTAGTGGCCAGTGCCTTTCGAGTGGAATATATACCTACAAAAAGCGGCACTTATGAGATTTGTATATATTGTGGAAATATTTTATTAAATGGAGGTCATTCGATCAGTAAAGAAGTGCGACCAGGTATTCCTGAACTGCATGATATCGAGTTAATTATGTGTTTTTGCTCTTTTAAAACCCTAAGAGAAGAAAACTAAATGGTCTCATTAGAGCATTGAAGAATAAAAAGACACTAACTTCTAGGATTTTTTATGAGAACAACGCAATCCAATGACTTATATGCAGAAGAAATAAATTATTATCACTTGTAAGAATCTTTAAGAAAAAATTAAACAAATACATAGCAAAAATTGAATAGCACCATCGTAACAAGAGACACTAAAACTATTAATGTGAAAAACTTCTCAATGCAAGGATAAAAACCATCTAGACTAATGAAACTAGCTCCACCATGGTTCACTTGCTGTAATCTAACCCCTTTCTAGCTTAGTGAGACACATAGTAGGCTTTAAATTGGGGCCTTTTTCCATGGTAAACCTCCGAGCCAACCAGAACAAATTATAAGAGATGTAGCCTTGCCAATATGCAAGAATTTTATGTAGGCAAATGATCGATGGGTGTTTAATGTTTAGATTAAAATACATAAATTTAGGTGAGTTATGTTGCAATTCTATTGACATTCGGCACATTTATATTTTTTTATACTATCAATCATTTGAGGTTGTATATGTTCTTTGTTTGCTCCAGGTGAAGTAAACATGTTATTTTCAGGTGTTGTGACGTTTCCTCAAAAGGTGCCAAAGCTGTCAAAAAATGAAATAGTAGTAAATCTGTTGGATTCATTTTCAAACCCTGTCCTGTCACAACAATCAAGGTTGAAATTGGAGATTACTTCAACTAATAGTTCTGTATTTCTAACTTGGGACATTGTGGATTATAAGGATGGTTCATATGGCTGCCATTATATGGCCAAAGATGTTGGCACTTACGAGATTTGTGTTTCCTATGATGACAAGCGTTTCTCCCGATGCCCTTTCAGTGTCAATGTGTACAGTAGTAAGTTTAAAAATTTTGTCGGGACATAACTGTGATTAAATTAATATTTTGGGTCTAACTGTCATTCTCCCTCCTTTCTTTTGTCTCTTAAGAGACTTAGAGTTTGAACTTCCCGTTGGTCCTTCCCACATTTTTCCTTACCATCTGAATCAGGGGAATAGTTACATTTTCAGTTAGATATTTCATACGTATCTCTGATTGTTTAACTTATTTTGAGATGTTTGGTAACAAATTATGTGTTTTAAACTTAATCATTTGTATATTCAAAAAATTAACTTCAAATTTATAATTTCTTTGTGATGTCAAGATTAATATATTCTGAGCATATTCTTCTGAATTAATTTCAGGTGAATATTTTCCCAAAGCCAACAATGACACAGTATCTATTTGGGAGGATGAGTCAATTGTGGTTGATGTCTTAGCAAATGATAATTTTGCTGGGGATAATGCAAGCATCGTTGATCTCTCAAAAGTAAGATGATTATCAATTACCTTTTGAGAGGCAAATGATAATTTACTTGTAGGATGAATAATTTGCCGTATCAAATATCAATCCCTTGGAGGATGAATAATTTAATTGTAACGTGGTTACACTTGTGATGAGCAAAATGTTTCAATCAACTTTTGATGTTACAGTCCAAATTTTTAAAATGAGCAAATTGAATGTATTGGTGCATGATTCAAGTTAGTAATAATTTCAACATGTTCAAAAATCAAAATGTATGTAACATTAATTTGTTAATAATCTTAAGTGATTTTTTTTTTCTAATCTGTGGTGTTTTACCAGCCAGATCATGGTTCACTTATACAGAATGGAGGAATATTTCGTTTTACTCCTTATGAACATTATTATGGAAACGATTCTTTTTGGTACACGATATCCGATATAAACGGAAACATAGCTACTGCTTCTGTGTATATATCTGTTCTCAGTGTCCCACCTCAGCTTGCTTCTGTTCCAAGTCAACTGCAAGCAACAGAAGATCTGACTAGTCCTAGATTTGGGTAATTACAGCCTAGTCACTACGGTTATTAATGATTTCAACTTTTTAATCTTCTTCCTAATTTTTGTTGTTGTGGCTCCTTGCAGTGGTTTCATTGGGTTTGAGATAACTTATTCAGATTTAATGGAAAATATTTCTGTCAACCTGAGCGTACGATCTGGAAGTATACTTCTGTCTCCTATGGTAATGCAATTTGGGCAACCTATGTGGAGTGAACTTACTATTAATACAGGAAATGAAACAGCCAACAATTTAGTGTTGGAAGGTTCTGTGGAAGTAATTAATTTTGCGCTTCAGTCAATCCAGTATCTAGGGTAATATCCTTCTACTTGTTTTTCTAAAGTTAATTCATTTGCCTTTTTTTTTTTTATGTTCCCATATTTCATATGTCAAATTGGTATTTGGGGTGTCTGTTGTCTCGTAATGTCAAAAATCTTAGCCCTTCATTGATCAGCTAATGGTTAGAGCAATTTCATCTAATTCTCCGAAATTAAGGGTTGAGATTTTGGGCTCAGGAAGGCAACAGATACCCAAATCCCATGATGTTTGAAGGCAAACTGCATTAATTTGGGATATTCTTGGAATTTGATACCTCATCTGTTAGTGATTTTTAAAACCTGTATTCACAACTGTGACCTCTTGGTTGATGATCATTATTCCAAAATCTATCAGTTTGTTAAATGAAGTAACTTTCATCCCACTATAGTCAATAGTATGATGTCATTAAGATAGTCCGTGGAACTATTCTGGTTAATAGAGACTGCACATGATATGATGGCGCATTGTTGAAGGTAACTAGTGAAGGAAATCTGCAATTTGATAAATGCAGATGGACTTCTAGGAATATGCCTTTGATTCTAAAATATTGTATTTTGGTGTTTAGTTTTACAATTATTATATAATAGAATATTTAACATGGTTTTTTTATTATTTACCTTCAGAAATGAGAATTTTTGTGGTAAGGATGTCATTCGAGTGTCCACCAAGAATAAGTATGGAATGAATGCGTTGGATGTTCCAATTTTTGTGGATCCAATCAATGATCCGCCATTTATTAGGGTCCCTTACTTTATCATATTGAAGGGTAACAAAGGCGAGTCAGTCATCTTTGACAAAGACTCAGACAACTTTGACTTTTTCATTGGAGATCCTGATCTTCTTACCTTCCCTGGTAGGTTGAAAATGTGTCTTGGATTGATATTTTGCTGCTTCTTCAGGAGTTACAGATTGCACGAAAAAGATCCAATTACATGAAACAGATGAATAATCATTTCTAGGCAGGTGAAATTGAAATCAATCAGTAAAAATTTAACATGATTAGATATCAGTTTATTCTTGCGAGTTGACATGGCTTGCATAGAAATCAAATCATCGAATTATTCTATGCAAATTTTGGACATAACATTGTTCTCTGGAAACTGGAAGATAAAAGAATGCTACTCTACATTTTTATGATCTTCAATCCTTAATATCTGCTTGAAGTAGTGATAACTACATTTTAAATGAGCTAATGTTTTCAGTTTGACAATTTTCTTTATAACAAGGAATAAATGTCTGTTGTTGTAATTTTAAGATCAAGAGTTTGCATCTAACAATTTCCCTGGTCATCTAAATTTCAGAATCTAATGATTTATCTGCTTAACTTGCGTTCTGCTGATGATAGATCATATTTCAGGCGGAGAGGCTCAATTTCTGGTGACTTTCTCTTTGGAAGTAAATGATGGCTTATTAGTAACAACTCTTCCTTCTTATTTGATCAACACAACTGAACTGAAGATTGGAAATAGTAACCAGTGGCAGCCTCTTTTGACATATGTTACTATATCAGAGCATTTTATGGTCAGAGCCAATGGAATTAGATTTCAGGGAACAGTCAACGACTGCAACACAGTTATGCAGCAACTTTTCTATCATGTATGTAATCTTCCTGTCCTTGGAGTTTAGCATTTGGCCTTAATCATGAGCATGACACTGTCTTTTAAACAAAAGTCCTACTGCCTACGCATAATTGCTTTATCATTCATTAAGATCAGTCACTCACACACACACATCCATATCCATCTATATTTATCCAACATTCACTAACAACCACCGTTGCTCTTAAGTCACTATCTAACTTCTTTATATATATAATTACCGTATCAGTTCAGCAGCACATGCTTAAAAGTATACTCAACAGTGTTTTCAGTAAGCTTAAGGAGAAGCATGTATTAAAAAGTTATGTCTCATTATGATCATGTGTGGGAATGAAAGATCAAGCTGAAGCAATGTTGAGAGTGTGAATCTTCGGTACAATATACCAAGTAAATCCATGATCTTATACTGTCACAGTAAATTCTTGGATTTTTGTGTGAAGGGAGGTGAGCATGGAGCTGTTTTGACATTGAAATTAAATGATATGGGAAATTATGGATGTTATCCTGATTGTTCTGAAGGGATGTCAATGCCTTTATATGCTGAGGCTATGGTAAACTTGATGAGAAGACGACCAATGAGTTCATTTCTTGCTCATGGTAAGTAGTAGAATTTTATTTATATTTTTTCTAGCTTTTAGACATTTGGTAAGAGTTAGCAACAGATTTTATATGTTCAGTTAGATAACAACGGTATATATTTTTCACGACTTACAAGCTCATGGTAAATGTGGTTACAGTCTTAGGATCAGCCATCATCATCGAGTTTTTGATAATCTTTTCTCTCGGAGTGTTGCTTCTGTACTTCACCTGCAGATGTGCAATTCTTCTGGTAAATGAAAGAAGAAACAGAGGAGAAAAGCCTCCGGAGATATCTGCTATGCAAGGATTACAGAAGCAACTGTAAGTCTGCATATCAGTTATGTATCACCATTTTATATTGCTCAATGAAGAAACATGTTAGAAGATTAAATCTCCTGTAATGGCACATCATATCTTCCTACATAAAATGGCATGACTTCATATTCATGACTGGTTCATTGTTATTATTTTTGGGATGAAATGCAGTCAAGCACTGAAATTCTGAGAATGCTAGTCACTTCACTGGTTGCTGTTCAAGTCCTTCCTTGCTTGGCTTTGGTAGGCACTCCTCCAATTTTCGCCAGCGGTGAGTAGTTTGATTGCGAATACTATTGAAAATGTCAAGGGAGAACTGTTTCAATCCTATAATCTTAGAAATGTTTGGCAGTGATAGGAAATCACTTTCACGGCTTCAACAAGAAGAGATTGCTTAAACTTGCAGGTCTCGTCGTGTATCTCAGATTGGAGAGACTAGTATGGCAGTGAATCGTTCATCGCCTTCAAAGAGTGAACCCCAACATGTTCTTGTGCCTAGTTTTACTCCGCTTGTCATTGACCATATCATATCTTAATTGTCTGAACTGCAAACCATTTGTTATATTGCTACTGGAAGCCATTGAAACTCTGGATTATAATGGATATGTAAAATTTATTCCTTTGATCTGGCCATCAGGGTGCCTTCTCTTTCTAAAATACTCCTTTAAAAGTTTTTTTTTTGGACGAAGTCGGATTAATAATACTTATTTTTAAATTTTACTCCACAATATATATTGATTGAGAAAAATTTAGAAAGTTACATTTTTTAAAATAATTTTAAGGCTATACTCTCTCAAGTTTTTATTGCAGAGTGTTTTCTAAAAAATTTTTGTTTTTATTTTAAGATATTTAGTGAGATATAGTGTGTTTTTTAATATTATTTTTATTTAAATTCATTAACTATGACAGACAATGTAATGTAAATGTAAAAATTTTTATTTAAAAAGAGAAAAAAATTGAAAAGCTTATTATATTTTCACACAAAATAACTTAACCACTCCTCTTTGTTTTAGTAAGGGGGTTAGAAGTGTTGGAATTAGAGGTATAGCAAAAGAATTAAAATTTAAAAATTTCAATCCCCTTCACAAAGTGGACGGCATTGTTTAAGTTAAAGTAGATACAATTTTGCTTTTATGTTTACAATCTAAGGATCTTTTCATTTGAATTTAAGGAATTGATTCTCCATGACCAACTTTTCTACCAGTATCCATACAAACAACTTTCTTACTCGAACAATAATGTTTGTTTAAGCCTAAAGAAATCACGATTTCTTTGTTTTTCTCATACACATCTTTCTCTTTTCTCTTAGGATGAGAATGACT